GTTGGCAGCTCACGGCTGCTCAGCTCAGGCTGACTCGAACCGCTGTTGCTCAGAGCTCAAACTCTTGAGCGAGCTCTTAACCAACTGAGCCACTCGGCCGGCCCCCAAGCCCTCTTTTTAACAAAAACAAAACCCCACCCATCTGACAGGCTTTTCCTCATAAGCAAAAATACTTTGGTTACATGTATGGGCTAGTTTCGTTTTTCATGTCATCAGTGAGCGCTGCGACACTCCTAATGCTGCAGAAAATGAACAAAGTCAGGCCTTGTACTTCCAGAAACCCGAGGCTAAGTTCAGCGGCGTCCAGCCACACCACTGGTGTTTGGACCCGGGCCCGTCACCACAGGCGGCGGCGGGGACCGGCATCTCAGAAGGCTCTGGCCCTCACGGGGGACCGGCTAAGGTGGCCTGTGCAGCTTTCGGCAGGTACGTTACCCCACATCTCAAAGGAGACAGTTTCACAAGGAATCAAATGATAGACGGAAGATTGTGGGGGCGGGGGAGGGGGCATAAAAGCGGCAAGATAATGTGAGCACGAAGTCCTCAGTCCCCAGAGCCGAAACCCACAGGCATGGCTCTGACACAGACCAGACCAGGGGGAGGGGGAGGAAAGGAGAAGGGGGGAGCGCCCCAGCCTGCCTGCCTGTCAGGGGTGCTGGACTCGCATGCAGGTGCACAGCAGAGCAGACCACGGTAGGAGGCCTCTGCTCCCACATTTAGGCAAACTACCTGCTCAGGGTCTGCAGAGAGCACGTCAGCCACCTCACATGTGCTTGCGTCCTCTTTTCTTCTTTTGCTGGGAGGGTAATTAGCAGCCTCCAGCTCATCAGACGTGCGGGCGACTGCATCTACAAAAACCTCTGACGCAACTCCCTGTTGAAACAGGACCCCTTTCATTCAGACAAGGTGAGTGGACCAGAGGCACCCCTCCTGTAGAGCCCTCACGGACCCCTGACTCAGGCCCAGCCAGCTCCCCAGACCCCGGTGTCCAGGCCAGCAGCAGCAGGTAGGGAGCCAAGAGACGGCTCCCGCAGGCAGGTAGGTGGGCAGAGCAAAGCCGTTTAAGTGCCCCACAGCAAAATGGGTGCCCTGTATAAACTGGCACACTGAGCCCGTGCCAAGGCCTGGGTCTCGGCTGTCTAGGGCCGCCGTCCCAACACCTGGGCTACTGCTCCCACACAGGTGCAGCTGTGGCAAGGTTCTGGGAGGACTGGGCAGCCCGGCACCTAAAGCAGAGCCAGGTCAGGCCTCTGGGGGATGTTGGGGACGGGGCAGCGCCCACCCCTCTGTGGATGGTGCATCTCAGCTGGCCCAGAGCTCACACTGGCCAGGAGGCACCCATCTCCTCCTCCCCCCAGCCTCCTCCTCTTTCTGAGGAAGGGGACGAGGCCCAGAGGAGCTTGCTAATGTGCCGCGGAGCACATGGGACCAGGCAGGGAGGAGCCTGGCCAAAGGCAGTTGGGAGCAGAGCCGAGGCCCAGCCCCTGTGCTGGAGCTGCCGTGGACATGAGGAGAAACGTCTGTGAGGCCCTGGGCAGGGGGCCGGGCTCCGCCTCACCTGGACGGGCCCAGGCCACGGGGGCAGCTGGGCCCCCTAGGCGCTGCCTTCGAGGGGGGGACAATGGGAAAGGCTGGGACCCTGTCACCAAGGGCTGGGAGGCAGATCATCAGTATTTCTGCAATGGGCACTCGGGGCGGGCCCCTGCCCAGAGCCCGCCCGCTCAGGGCCAGGAATCCAGGCCAGCTGGCTCCTGTCACCTGGCGGTGGGAAGCTGAGAAAGGGACCACGGGTCAGTCAGCACCTTCAGCCCAACTCGCCCGCCAGGGCTGCAGGGAGCTACCCCAGGGGAGAACAAGTCCATTAGGCGCTGGGAAGGAAGCAAGAACCAAGCAAAGGCACCCAGTTCATCAGCATCAAAGAGCCACCAAAGAAAAGGCCAGGAGCAGACAGTCCGCCCAGGCGACAGGCAGATGGGAGCTCCGCACTGTCCTCTATCCACCGCACCCTGCACACAGCCCACGGCAGATGGACGCAGGACCCCTCCCTCAGGAGCTGGGCAGCCTCGTGGCCCCTGCCTGGCTCTGGGGCCTCTTCCCCTGGCCGCCTGGCGTCTCATCCCACCACCATCACAACATCATGGCCACGCCGCTTCCTGACCATGAGGCTTACGTAGGGTCACTGCAGCGACAGAGACAACGACCAAAGCCCGCGGGAGCTACACGCCAGAGACAACCCCGCGGCGGTCACTTGTGCGCTGCACTCCAGCCCCCTTTCACATGTGGGTATGTGCGCATTTAGGCGTTTTTTAATTCCCTTCTGTGACAATATGATAGTTTTCTTAGGCTGAGGTGGAAAATCGCTTGACATAAAATGAACCACTCTGAGCGCACGCTCAGTGTTGTGGTTCCCAACATTTTCACGGCCCCAGAGGAAACTGCGCGCCCACTGAGGAGTGACTCCCCAGCCCCTGGGGGAGCTCTGGGCACCCCAGTCTTTCTCTGGACTCCCACTTATCCTAGGAACCTTTCCAAAATCTTGTTCCCACAGGAACTCCCTCCCAGCTTCTCACCCCAGGCGCCCCACAGGCACACCTGTTAGCCCCACCTGTGACCTTCCACCCCAGGTGGCAGCAGCGGTTTCATTTGCCTTCTATGTTTTCCAGGAACACCCACGGTGGCTGCTTTCCACCCTGAGCGCTTTCCAAGGAAAATGCAAAACAGCAGGTGCCTGTGTCTCTCCTTTACGGGACCCAGACAGGTTGAAACAGACAAACATACTGATTCTAGGGAACAAGGAACCAGGAGCCACCCGGGGCCCCCAGGTGGAGCCCTCCGACCACTGCCATGCAGTGGGGCGTGGGCGCCGGGCCGAACCACCACAGGCGCCTTTTACTGACTCTGCACTCACTCGGTTCCCTAAAATTTCCCAGAATTCCAGGCACACTCATGTTCCTTTTGCTCGTGTTCTTCAGTGATTCTCGAGACCGGCCGTCAGAGTTCCCTTCTCTGCTCTTTCTATTGCTCTTACTCTACTGCACATTTTTCAAAACGCTTTTTATTTATGTATCTATCTAATTCTGCCATAGAGATGACACGAATGGCACTGCCCGTGATGGGACATTATGGTGGGTGCCAACATTCTGACACAGAAGAGCGGGGCTGAGACGGGACCCGGTGCAAACCTTCAAGTGCCTTCTGGGCTTATTTTCTTATAAAGAAATCAGAGGAGCAGGAGAGGTGGGGGGGTACCTGCTGGCTGGTGGTCCCGCCCCCTCGCCGCACCTGAGGGAGGACCTTGCCCATTTCTGCAAATACTGACTGTAAGTCGATGCTTTAATTTGAAGGTTCACTATAATATCGTGCAGCCCTTTTAATTTTTTAGTGTTTGGTTTCAGAGTGGAATTTATACGTTTACTGGCCACTTATGTCTTCTCCATTGTAGGCTACAATCTATCTTTGGCCCACCCCGTTTTTCTGTTAGGTGGTACCGGTTTCTACTTGATTTCTACAAGCTTTTCACATATTGAGGTGACTCACTCTTTGCTAAAAAATCTCTGTATGCAAAGCCAAATATTCTCTATAAAGGTTTCCTAAACGGTCTGCCCCTCATTTGTGCTCACCATAGTCTATGAGGTTTTCAGTTCTTTTAAGGCTTTTTCAGGAGCCAACTCTACTAATCTTTTGTATTTTTTTCCCTTTAATTACTAGAACATCTTTCCCCATTCAGAGACCAGGTGAATATTCATGTATTTTTTCTCCGGACTGTGTTCATACGCATCAGACCCCGTGTCGGGCTGTCTCTTGTGCACCAACCATCCCTGGAACGCACTGTGTTAGTTAGTGACTGTGGCTGTGTAACCCCTGTGCTTAACCTCGTACAAACAAGGCCCACTCAAGACTTTTCTCCTTCACAATTTTCTTAGTTATTCTTGCCCATTTCTTCTTCCAAAAAAGCCTTAAACTGACTCTGTCAAAGTTTAAAAAAAAACAATAACAAACCTAGTCCTGCTGAACTCAATATCATTTTCAATCGCACTGTCATGTACGCTTCTTCATGGTGTGTTTTCTGATACTCATCTCAAGTTTACAGAAACGTCCAGGGTCCACGAGGCCCAGGCTCAGGCTGGCCATCGGCTCTGGGTGTGTTACTCTCCAAGGGGAAGGACACACCACACACGCCACACACATGCACACTCACACATACACACACATCCCCAACAGTCACATACATACACACACCTGCCCCAACACACATACACTCACACACATGCTCTCACACAAACACACCCCACACACACACTCCATATACACACCGCACACTCCCACATACACACCTCGCGCACACACACTCCATATACACACCGCACACACACTCCATATACACACTGCACACACACGCAGTGGGTCACAAAGGTGCGAGCTGTGGCACCTCTCACCTGGGCCCAGCCACTACTAGGAAGAGCTGAGGACCAGACAGGAAACCAGCCCCAGACCAGATACAGAGAGACAGTGGCCCTGCCTCAGCGTCCGGCAGGAAACCGGAACTGACCTGCCATGGGGTGGGGACAGGCTGCACTTCAGTGCAGGGTGCTCCTCTCACATCCATCCCCCTGAACCTGTCCAGGTTCTGCCAAGCCTGGTCTGGGGCTCCAATGGTCCCTCACCCAGGAGATGGAGTCTGACACTTGTGGGGGAGACACGACGCCCTGACGCCCTGACCTCGGAGCTGTCACCGTCAGAGGTGGCAGACACCCACGGGGCAGAAACACAGGCACCCAGCCCCAGCCCAGCCCCAGCTGCTAGGACACGGCACGCTGAGTGACAGGAGGAAAGGGCAGGCGGAGTCCCCAGCGGGACAGGAACCCAGAGACCATGTGACAAAGCAGGCACAGCTCTGCCACTGCCCAGCATGGGATCAATGGGGGCCACCGGGCAGCATTGCTGTGACGATGTCCTGGAGAGGGCACACCGTGGGGACATGCGGAACCTTGTTCTGCTGCGGAGGAAACCCCAGCAGGAAACAGCGTTTGGACAGCAGCAGGGAAAGGGGGCGGAACCAGGCCCACCCTACCAGGGACCCTCACTCACACTGTAGATGGACCAGGAGGCGTCGGAACAGAGCTCAGCTGGCTGGTCGGACCCATCACTTGAGCCTGGGGTTGAGACAGGGCCGCCTTCTTCCTTCAACTCCTGTCCACACTCCATTTCTCCTGCAGGGGCCGACGTCACCTTGAGGCCACCTTCTGCCTTCGACTCCTGTCCACACTCCACTTCTCCCTTGGGGGCCGACGTCACCTTGAGGCCACCTTCCTCCTTTAGCTCCTGTCCACACTCCATTTCTCCTGCAGGGGCCGATGTCACCTTGGGGTTGCTTTCAGAATCTACAAAGGCAGTGAAGGAAAGCAGAATCTGTCATCCCAAAATCTTTCTCTCTGGCATGTTAATTTTAAGAACAAGCACACACAAGAGAGTCCTGAACCCTGGGTAGAAGTTGCCCTCTTGTAAAAGACACTACATTGTTCAGAGAATCTCCATGTGTAAGGGGGTCCCCACACTACATCAGGAAGGGGAGGGTGACCTCATCTCTAGAAACTCTAATCAATGCAGAAGGCAAAGATTTCAATCTGCATAATGACCTTGCCCTTGTTGGCTGTGCTTCTCTCCAGGTGTAACTGACTCCCCACCCCTAGCACCTTCTTTTGTCTTCAGCTGAGGACAGTATTTAGGGTGGTGGCTTCTGCCATTTCGCAGTTACTCGTTTTCCTGGGTGTCTCCCAGGTGTACAGGAGGCATGTGTGTTACTACACTTTTTTGTTTTGTTAATCTGTCTTATATCAATTTACGTATCAGACCAGCCAAAGAACCTAGAAGAGCAGAGGAAACATTTTCTGCCCCTACAACAGCTGCATGTGCGTCAAGCCTCAGGAAAAAGCAAGTGAAAGTCTGTCAGGAGAAAACCTTGGAACCCTCGGCAGCTTCTGGGTTCTGGGCAGATTCACCGTCTCGGCCCCCAGCCCCTCCCCGGACTTCGGCAGTGTCTCGGCTCCTTGTCTTATTTTTTTCTATTATAAAAACGTCTTCAAGAAAACTTAGAAAATGCAGAAAATAAAAAAAGCAATACATTGCCCAGAACTTCACCCCTCCCCGCAAATAACCTTCCAGCACTCAAGGTCCCACCTGGGGCACAGGCCAGAGCTGTGGGCGCCTGGGGTGGGGAGGGCCTCCTGACGCCCCTGCCTCTGCTGACTCTACTGCATTTGAAGCAGTCGATGGAAAAACATCCTGCCTAAGAGAACGCTCATAAGAGTTTATTTGAGCCACACTGATGACAATTGCCGGGAAGCAAAGTCTCTACCGACTGAAAAAATGCTCCGCAAAATGGCAGTTTGCAGCTTATTTTATACATGGAATCGAAGGAGGAATCAGAGGAAGGTTTCTCTGATTTCACATGAAACTCACTGGTGGTAGATTAAGGGGGTGGGAGACAGCAAAGCGGGGAAATCTCTGAGGTTGGAGAAAAGTAAATTGGAGAGACAGGTATTTCTTTTACACAGGTGGGTGTGGGATAGTTAACAGTTGGCGTCCCACATTGGGTACCAGATATCACGTCCCGCGTGACAAGGGCTGGGGAGCTCGAGGAGGGGCAGCGAAAGGTTAAGAAATACAAGAGTCAAGGACAGAGTTACTACGGGCAGGGGTCTCAAGCCTCTGTGGACCGAGCCCTGATTCTGGCGGGCACAAAGCTTTTATTCTCAACTGCCACAGAGGAGTAAATCTGAATATCTTAACCCGGTATGTTGATTCGATGTGTCCAGCAACTGCTTCACCACCTCATCGTGATCAAACACAAGCTGTGCTTTCACACGTACGTATGATCCCTGGGACGGACTCAGCATTCTGAGACCATCCGATAAGGAAGCTTTACTGAGATTATTGCCTCGGGTCTCAGCATCCTGAGACCCTCCCTTGTGGCTTCAAAGGATCAGTGTGCTGGAGCACTGAGGAGGCAGCTGCAAGGTGACAGAGAGTTCATCAAGGGACCAGAATAATACTGAGGGATTCTGTAGTTTTCTGCTCTGGTCTGGAAAAAGGGATGACTGAGGTTCCAAGGATGGCATCCTAGGTGCAAAAAAGACAATAGACAGGCCCACTTAAGGTGACGATTGGCTTCATGAAGGAAGCTTCAGGCTAAAGATGTGACTTCCTGCCATGGCCCACCTTAGTTATGAATGTTTTTATGTTCACGCCATCTTATGTGCTTATTTCAGTTTCCTGAGCTTGTCAGGTTTCACCTGTGGCCCCTTTTCTGTCCTCAAAGCCCTTCACCATCGGAACCAGCCCAACATCACCCCTGGCAAAGCCAGCCACCCTCTACCCAGGCCTGGGGTGGCCTGGGACTCTCCGCGTGTCCCCTTCCACACCTTTATCCGTGGGCCTCCCACTGCCCCCCAGACCCTGGCGTCCTGGCACACCTGGGCAGCTGCACTGCGGCCTCTCCAGGCACTGCAGAAACTGGGACACCTCAGACCCCCAGGGTGAAAAGAGGAGACGGCCTCCACACTCCAGTCAAGTCCCCAGCACCCTGGTTTCACTTTCTATTCCTGCAAACAGAGGCACAGCCCAGGGCGAGGAAGCAGAGGCCCAGAGGCAGTCATGTGTTCCTGGGTCACACCCCCTGAACCCCTGGCCCCTAGGGATGGAGTATGTGGTCAGAGGCAGTCTCACCTTTCAACAGAGAGGTGTTCGGCCCTACTGTGCACCCTGCACGGACTGACCAGGGCCCAGCGCCTGCCCCGCCCAGAAGCAGTGACCACTACAATGACACAGCCAAAAGGACAACGGCCCTGCCCACCTCTCACATGCCCACAGGAAGCCCAGAAGCCAGTGGACCCCAGCAGCTCTCAAAGCCTTCGTCACTGCTGGGAGGTGATGGTTGCCTGCCCGGGAGTGACCGTGCCCTGCTGAGGACGGGTGGCCCTGGAGTGGCCTCTGAGCTGGCGGAGGACAGCTGCTGTAGGAGGATGGGATCTTGCCACCCTCAAACATGTCTCTTCGGCATGAGGATTATTTTCGTCCATTATTTTTAAGAAACAAAGACTTGGGAAGGGCTTTTGACCTGCCCCTTCACTGCCTAATTGAATTCAGACAGAGCGCCTGCCGAGCAGCGTCACCAGACACATTTACAAAGAAGGGGCCGGTGTGGGAAACTGGGGGAGCCGGTGGGGCCTGCAAACCAAAGTCCTGTCTGGGTCCCACTGTCTCTGCAAGACCCAGTAAACATCTGTTTACCAACCCCACCCCCTTCTCCTTAGCTCAGGGTGGTGCCTAGACCTCAAACTGCCTGATCCTCTCTGGGCCCCCCTGTTCTTAGGGAGCCCCCGGATGTGTGAAATTAAATTTGTTTTTTTCTCCTGTTAATCTGTCCTATGTCAATTTGATTATTAGACCAGCTGAAGAACCTAGAAGGGTAGGAGGAAAAGGGCTCCCCTCCCCCCAACCCCCTTCCAGGACAGGCAGCCCTGGGAAGTCTGAGGCAAGCACACTGGAACTCAATGGCATTTCGTAAGAATGCCACACACCCACGTTCTCAGACACAGCTTCCTTCGGCCCGGTTCTGGTGGCCTTGGCAGCCCCTGGCACAACCCAAAAGGAGGGACCCTCCAAGACAGGTGAGTGTTTCCCAAAGGGGCCAGTCTCTAGGGCCCCAGACTCAGATGAAGCCCCTGGGGTTCCTCTGTTTGCCCCCCAAGCCCCTTCTCAGCTGTTAGCCAAGGACCACCCTGGTTTAGCTGGTTACAATAATTCATTTTAACCCTTGAGACCCACACTTAACACCTTCCTGACCCCCGCCCCCCCCCAACTACAGGCCAGTAGCAGCAGAGGCTGCAGCTGTTCTTCCACCCAGACCAGGTGGACAGCACTCCAGGGCAGGTGTAGGGTGCCACCAGCACCCCATCTTTCCTCACTCCATGGTGAAGCCAGCAAGACCTCAACCACAGCTTCCTCCTAGAACATGGGCTCTGGACCCACCGGCCGGGATTCAAGCTGTGACTAGCTGTGTGACTATGGGCAAGTTACTTAACCTCTCTGTGCTTCGCTCTTGGCACCTTGGTAAACTGGGGATTCATGATACGTCCTCCCTCAATACTTAGCACAGCACAGGGCACATAGCAGATTTGGTTTTATTTTATTCCTGGAGCCCCAAATGCTGCTTCTGTTCAAGGTCCCCCCAGCCAGGGAGATATCCTAGTGATTCGGGGGGACTGGGGGAGAGCCCCTGCTGGTGGACACTCGGGGCTCCGGCATGCCATGATCTGGTAGCCAACAGCAAGGAATCAACGATGGGAGCGGCCTCAGCTGACCCCCCAGTGTGTGCGTGGCTCTGTGACCTTAGGTCCCAGGTGTTCCAAAGAAAAGACAGAACCCTCAGGTGTGACTGGGCCGAGCTCCTCCCCAAAGAGTGAGCAGCAAAAGAAAAGCAATGAAACAAATCAACACCACAAAGCAGCTGCCTCCTCTACACCAAGCACTCTGCACAAAGGCAGCGGAAACGGGCAGATCAGAGGACTGGCGCTTCCAACCCAGCGTGAGGTGCGTCCTCAGAGTTTACCCATAGCCCTGAGCAAGGTCTGCATTTCCTGACTGCCCACGCGTGCGTGTACACACACACACACACACACACACACAC